GTACCTGTGATTTAATTTAAATGAACTATTACCAACCTCCTTTCTAAGGAGAGGCCTATGTCCAGCAGTGGACTGTTAAAGGCTGTGGATGATGATAATGATGATGATGAACTATTACTAGAGAAATTGGTTTGGGAGAAAGGCTCGGAGAAGGAATTACTAGAGAAATTGGTTTGGGAGAAAGGCTCGGAGAAGGAATTACTAGAGAAATTGAAAGGAATAACGCAGAATGATTTTGAAACAATAATAATTTATAAATGTACCTACTTTTCACATATTTACTGGCATTACCTACATACACATGTAAACCTGACCAGGTATTTCGATTGCTCTGTGTACCAACAAATGACTTACTTAAATCATTTTGGTAGGTTACTTTTAAATACACAATTAATAATATCTTTGAATAATCAACTACCTTTAAAACATATATTTAAACGTTAAAATGGTATGTACTACATCAATAAAACAACTAAGGCAGCCCATTCCAGGCAGACAATACATAACGCCGGGAACGTAAGCTCAGACATAATGAGGAGTAACGATGCGCGCGTGCATGGCGCGCCTAATGATGTAGAGCGGAACAGATGTATACACTTCTTGTGTGTTAGAGCGAGGTGAAAATATACGCTCCCGATGTTGATGTCTAGAATGAAATTGGTAACAAATGTAGTGAAACATACTCGAATACATAACCTTTATATTTGTTTACCTTTGTAATTTTAGTAGAAACCCATCAGTCAGTTTTTCTACCCAATAGGAGGTAAACGAGCACCTGCAGCCATGGATACCTGTAACTAGAGACACAATTAAGAGACTTGCCACTCTTTGATTCTCCCTCCCAGAACTGGCGGCGGTGGTCACTTACTTTTTCAAAATCTGTTCAGCCGCTTAAGCGTGAAGACTTTACAGACGGATCCACTGGTCTGTAATAACCTCACTTTTTCGGTAAACGTAACGAAAAAAAAATTGCTCAACACCGGCTGTCTGTGAGACCGTAATACCGGTCCGGTGGAGCCGTTCCGTATGAACCGAAGTACCTATGGCTGTCCTACGGCAACTAGTCAACTCCTCAACTATCACACGTGATGACTAATCAAGTAGATAGATTGCGAAGATTCTAGAATTTTTTGTTTATCTGTCACTCGCTGCTCTATATTTTCACTTGCTTTTTCATCATGTTCATTACCTAGGCTTTGTAACGTCCATCGCTGAATACGCCATAATCTTATCGAATACGTGACATTCACAAAGAGTTGTCTTGCGAAGGCCGCAAGACAACTGAAAGCCAATGAAATGGTTGAATTATTAAATAACTTTAATACCTATGTTTAAAGCACTTGAATAGTTTTCAATGTACTGAAGTCATAATCGATAGATTTTAAGGTTAGAATTTTTTACAAGACCTCTCTAAAGTTGTTGTACCTAAATAGATAAATCTAGGAATGTGAGAGACAATAATTCTTGAAACATGTTCATAATGACCTGGTTAAAAAACGTATATTTCATAATAGGTATATTTTTTTTGGTTGACGGGGTGGAAAGTCCCTTCGGATCACGTGCTCCTCGGGGACTATACAATTATTTGATAAATTTGGCCGATAATCCTGATCAGGATTTTCAGGATTAACGGCTTTTGCCATACCTAAAAATACGGTAGTGTCTTTTGCTACGTACTAAGAGGCGTGTGCTGAAGCAAATGTGACTTACTTACTTGTTACTTTTTAGTATTAATGAGAAAAAATTATCATTAATCACTAAAACAGTAAAAATTAATTATAGTTTAAAAAAACTAAAATACACGCTTTTGTAACTAGCCGAAGTAAAAAGTAGAAAATAATTTTCTGTAAGTGCTTTTCAAGATATTTTATAATATATGTCTGTAATAATAATGACTTTTAATAAAATATTTTTACAACAAATTGAGATCTAGCACCCCACGCATTTTTACAATAAAAAGATTCTACTTTTTGAACTTATAGAAAAGTATTTTCTACTTTTACGTTCGGCTAGTGACAAAGACAAAATGTTTTGTAGATTTTATTTAATTACAATTTCTTTCTTTCTTAAAGGTGGTGAAAAGTATACTCGTAGGTACATATATGTAGGCAGAGACGATAGAACGCCGTTTGACAGGATTCTGACACGCGTTCGCGCCTTTCAACATTTATGGTTGGCATGGTTACAGGTGCTTTAAACGAGGACCCGTCTTCAGTATCTGTCCAGTCGATGTGCCGTGTGAAGGTCCTTCGGAGCCTGGGCACAATGAGAAGCGAGGTGAGGCATGAGCCTAACGAACCACGACCCAATGGTTGATGTTAGGAAGTTGTTTCATCAACAGCCTTTAATAGTCCACTGCTTGACATAGACCTCTCATTAAAAAGGAGATTTTGGCTTCTATAGGTACTACGATGGCCAGACGGGTTGGTGTAGAGTTTGTTTCAATTTTTTCTTCTAGTTGCAGTGCTGTTGTCTTACGTAGTTTGCTCACTTAGTCGGCTCTTACGACACCCACGGTATGAATAGGGACGAAGACACTGCGTAGGTATTATTAATCAGTCACCACACGGACAACATAAGTTAAACTGTAATAAAACTTTTGAAAATGATGAAAAAAGAACACTTTCAGGAAATTAGTAGAGCCATACGTCTTTATTCTTCACCCGGCCACCCAGTGATACCACGGCTTCCCGGAAAACTGGTGTTAACCAATTCTATCTTTGTGTATTACAGCACATACAAAAATATATATCAAAAGGAGATTAATGACCTGACCTCACGAATTAATATTTATTTTAAAATTTAGTACCTACGATTAATCAATACAAGTAGGAAGGTAGCTGAAAGAAGTAGGAGAAGAGAGGAGTAGAAGTAGGAGAAAGAGTGAAACAGTATACAATTTTTGTCTATGGTAAATAAAGTTAATAAATAAATAGGTAGAGACCGAATCCTTACATAGAAACTTAGAATAATATTTATATACCTAGGTACCTACTTAAGGTATTAAGTTAAAACCTACCTAAAACTGGAATGTACCTACCTTAGTAGGTTATACCTATTTATACTTAGTAACTGTAAAATAATTAATAAAAGAAACCTTAAGATGTCTAATAACTTCTCTAATTCAGTTTCCTTTACAACTATTTGTAAAAAGTTTCCTAACAATACCAATGTAAATACTTTTTACAGTCTTAAGTAAGTAAATAAACTTTTTATTATCTAACAAAAACACGTATAACCACAAACAGATTTGGAGCTAAACTTTATCAGCTAAATCAATAACCAAATTGGCCTGGAGCGCAAAAATGACAATGGTGAAAACAGTCGCCCGCAGCGAATCCTGCAAAACTCTCATTAACCCGACTCTAATTAAAACATAATTAAATACGCGCGAGAAAAAGAGAGAACGACATTTAACTGATACTAATAAGATCGTCAAACAATTAGGACCGGCCAGCGCGAGGGAGCGAGACGGAGGATGTCACGCTCCCTCTCGGGCGCGGCGCTCTCTATTTAACTTTTAATTTATACTCATTCCTTTATATCTTTTATTGCTTCGCCCATCGCGGCTCCTAATGCGCCCGAGGTGCTCCTCACTCTAATTAAATTCATGCAAGGCTGAGTGCGGCGGCGGGCGGGTGAGCGTGGGGCGGGCCCCGCCCGGCGCTGCGGGGCCAATGGGCGCGCCGGGCCGCCGGAGCCCGCCGGAGCCCGCCCGCCGCTCGCAGTACCAGATCCCTGATAGAGCTGTCATGTCGCGTCCGAGCGCTCGTTACGCTGTCTTGACATATTTTATTATTATTTATGTCAATTACGTTATTACTTTTTTGTTTAATGGAATAAGGAATTGGTTGTGAAATTGATTGCCTTTCGGTCGCTTATGATTCATCACTGTCAAAAATATAATCTGAAACGTGTTAATTTTGTATGATTGATAGTTTGTGAGTCATTAGAGCGGTTGGGCAGACGGAGGCGTCGTAATCTAGTTTTACGCAACTCCATTGTAACCGCTCTTGGCGCTCTCCGAACTAAATACCTATTACTGCTTGATTGCGCACCCATCACACAATCACCTGTCAAATTAAAAGAATGGGTGAAATTTAAAATGTATCCCCGTTATTAACTTTAATCGATTTCTGTCTACGCTTATTACAATACTTTTATAGCCATATACCTATAACCATAAGATCATAGACCTTCACTTCTTCTTCTTCATCGTTATTTTCCAAAATAATTTACTGTTCTGTTAGTACTAAGGTAATTTCATATGAATAAGTAGGTACCTATAAATCTGTAAACCCTATCCATGTTCAGGCTTTGGTTGTAAATCCGGTATTGCCTAAAAGGACAATCGCAAACCATGAACCTTCCATAACATAACTCCTTACCGATACTCAGTACATGTCAATGTACAGTCGCGCGCCATGCGGCTGAAAAAGATTATGACAACCCCACAGAGCCGTGCTAACCTACGACAACCTTATAAATCCCATGTTTGAACACCTACCATACCATAATAAGCGTAAGCGTCACATAAATAAAGTTTATTTCACCTCACCATCAACAGTCGCCTACGTTACCGGTAATTCAATGTATGCCGTCCCTTAATTTATAACCTGGTATTCAATACTGATCTGTAACTTTACGGCATAAGGTTTGAAAGCGTTTAGCAGTGGGGCGATGTACTGTCGGAGGAATAAATCTATGATATGAAGGGGGCGGGAATTAATTTGTGTGTGGTGGGGATCGGGGAGAGGGGTGTTCGCTCCGCCCTCGAGGCGCGCCATCTCGCGTCGGGCGCGGCGTGGCACGCAGTACTCAGTACGGACAGGACGGGACACGCGCGCGGCACTCGCGCTCGGAGTGACATCGATTTCGCTAGTGTTTGTGTTGAACTCGAGTGACTATTGTGCGATGACAGTAGATAATGGTATGGTGTCTGCGTGGTGAGGGGTGTCGGCAAGATATCTGGTGCGAGGGGAGGCGGCGGCGGCGGCAGCATGGTGCTCGAGGGTGGGCTGCCGGCGCCGCTGCAACTGTACGCGGCGGCGGCGGCGCAGCTCGCGCCCCGCCCGCCCTGGCCGCCCTTCCTGCCCTTCTTCGGAGTACCTCCGCCGTTCCTTACCAGGCCGAGGCTCCCACATCCGATGCCCACTAGGGCTCCCCATGGACCCCCGAGCGAAGACTCTAATGAAGACGGCGCTAGCAGCAAAGGTAGGATGTCTTTTTTGTATAAATTTCCAATAATAAGATGTCTACATTATACCGGATATTTTAAAATGCGTTATTTTGTATTATGAAAATACAGGTAAAATTAGAAAACCAACTTTTTGTTTTGAACATAAAAACTACCTAAACCTAAAAAGTATTTACTGCAAATTAATATATTTGAAATATTAATTCTTTCAATACCTGTACTCAGGTAGTTGAATCTTGAAAACGGCTTTAGCCGTTAGATTGTGATTTTGTGTTGATCTGCCAAACAAAATTGCCCAACGAAGTTTGGCGCCTAGGACAATTTTTATTTAAAAAAGTAGGTGTATTTATAAGCTCTTATTGACATGCGCATGTTGTAAATGAAATATAATAAATTAAATTCAATAAGAATTACAGTAGTACCTATCCTGTTCTCTTCTCGATTATTACCTATATGTTCTGTACAATGTTACTTCAAGATAACCTCAACTATCGTAAGAAGAGCTCACATTTTACGTCCATTAATCTGTTGTCATGGGTACAGGCAAATAAAATTATTTAACCACTCCGATGATGAATCAAATTAACTTGCAGATAGGTGTGATTTATAATATATATATATGTAGCTGGTAATAAATAAATCAATAAATTAACTAATTATAATTATTATCTTGACAACCAACAAGACGTTTCTTAATATTTTAATGGACATAAATTAAAATAGATTGAATGTGAACTTCGAACTTTGTCTTTTACATATCTACCTAATAATAGGACCTAGATTAATTAATTACTAATTTTTTTTATGAAGATAACAGATTATAATAGTTCTGTAGTATTTAATTGAAAAAAATATTTACTAAAGACTTCCCTAAATTCTGTTCTCTTTTCAAAATATCTGGCATTAAAAAAAAAGAGAAAATGGCTTCTTTATCTCATGGGGACAGTACCTAATTTTTTCTATTTCAAGGGTATACTATGTAACTTTATATCTTTTTCTGTAAATTTAATATCACATATAACCAAACAAACAAACCATACATTCATTTTTTAATATTAGGTTAGCGATTAAAACCTTGTCTAAGTAACTATCTACCCTAAGTCTTATTCTCTACACTAGTATTTCTTTTCTAAAGAATAAGTTTTAGCCAAACATTGCCGTTTGTTATATCTATTACCTACTTATAAACTTTATTAGGGAGAAAACTGATAACAGACAGTTATTTAATTTAGACGTGAATGTCCGCATCTGATTTAGTCAATTTAATATCGTGAAAGCTTCCATTTTAGTAATAAACGTGACAAAACTATCTGCTACCCACTAATAACAATATTAGCGCCGCAGATAACCTTTATATTTAAAACGAAAGTTTTGTCTACGTTTCGTTGTTTTTTGTTTATAATTACAATAACATACATAAAAAAATGGGATTAAATTGTTATCTAAGTAGGTATATGTCGCAAGCAATTAGTAGTGGCTTTTTTACAAATTGCGTTGTCAATTTGAAACGCTCATAGTTATGAAATATATCAAAGACAAATTAACAACTCACTCAAATGTATAATTTCGATATTGATTGTAATTGTAGGATGCTCAACATGAGCCACAGGATGTAGAATTCAGAGAAACAGTTACCTACAAATGTTTTAAGCAGCTCCGTGGCCCCGTCCTTTGTTTTTTAAACAAAATGAGAGAGAGAGAAACACAGTCTGAGATGGATACAGGCAAAGTCGTGGTCCTGGTAGTTGAAGAGCCATATATAGTTCCCATTTGATGTTGGCTGGGGGTCAATCAGGTTAATCTGATATTAAATTCTCGAGATATACCAATTATTTTAGTTGCAATACATTTCTTTGGTGTGACACGTTTAAATTCGAACCGGTATCATTCCTACATGTATGCCTATAGCGAAGATTCAAGATGCTTATGTGAATTTGATATGTAATAAATTTAATGTTTTTGAAAACGTTTTACACGTTTTACATTAATATTTTTATGCTTAGTAAATAAATAGAGTGATAAATAGTTATCATTATAAATAACACACGTATTTACCTGTTATTATGCGTTGCTGGTAGATATTTATCTTAGAAAAAACTGACAGCACAGCAAATTAATTGTGCATGGGTTTTTTACATCGCATTTGATTTATTGTCGTTGATTGTTCTTAATTAAAATGTTTATTTATTAATTTGTATGTCATGTAAGCTGTCACTGATTATTAGTTTTTGCCATATTGCTTGCCATCAATTAATGATATTTGTCATGTCATGTTTCAAGGCGAAGAAAGTGCACAATTGACAATAGTAACATGGGATAAATATTTAAATAACATTTGAACTGCTACTACACTGCAATGAATATATCAAATAGATATTTATTTTGAACAAGTTATTAAGAAGAAAATTAGGTAATATATTATAAATAATAAATAAATAAATTACGCTTGAAAGCTATTAGTTGATCCATAATATTTTAGCAATCGGAGACGAGCTTGTTCATCTAGTGGTTCGTGGCCCTGACTGCTAAGCCAAAGGTCGTGGGTTCGATCCCCACCCAGGGCAAATTTTGTACGATGAGCACGGTCATTTGTTCTGTCTGGGTATATGTAGTAGGTATTTAAAAATATATAAGTACCATAGTACAGGCTCTGCCTAGTTTGGGATTAGACTGCCGTGTGTGAGACGTGTGAAGTTAAAAAAAAACCTAACTAATCAATAGAAGTAAGTAAACCGAGTTCTATATGCTATTCGAGTGATTGATGATTTTTTTACGACATTGGGTGGGTATATATTTAATTTGAACTGGGTATATATTTAATGTAGTTAATTTTAACTAAGTTTTTTACTAAATAAGGACCTTTCAAACCTACATATGCGAAATTAATAAAACCTTTTATTGTTGCGGCTCTTCAAGAAATAACAGATAACTAGTTATTGTAACTGTAAGTTAATTTATCTGAAACTGATTTATAACTGCAAAATGCCTTATTCTATAACCCTATTATTATGTTTGCTTTGAACCTCGAGAAACAATAGGAAAGTTTTTTCATAATTTACTGTTGATTGATTTCTTAGTACTAAAGCGACGACGCTACCTTACATTTTTTTATGATCATTTTTATTCATTAAGTTGTAGATGCATAACAGTCATTTTTCCCTTAATTTGTAAGAGATAGAAACCTATATTTGGAAGAAACCTATTATGTTAAAGTCTACGTAACATTTAAACTAATCTTGTTTTCAAAGTAATATCAATATTAACGTTTAAAACAGTTCTAATAACGTTCAATAACATTTATTTACAAGAAATTACTTTAAACGATATTTTAATTATTATTTTAAATTAAAAATGATATTAATTATTATTTATATTAAATTTAATGTGTGTTTATTCGTTTAAAACGCATAGTGAATGCTGACTTCTACTGTAATTATTGTCTGTATTTTATTTATCGTTATATATTTTTTGTTGTTATTTATTTATAATACTAAAAATTTCGTATGAAGAAGGCATACGGGCATAAATTAAATTATATTGTTTTCTTAATTTGTATTTTTATTTCACAGTCTAATTTAAATTTAATCTTTTTACATTTTTTTAATCTATACTAATATTATAAAGCTGAAGAGTTTGTTTGTTTGTTTGTTTGTTTGTTTGTTTGTTTGTTTGAACGCGCTAATCTCAGGAACTACTGGTCCGATTTTAAAAATTCTTTCAGTGTTAGATAGCCCATTTATCGAGGAAGGCTATAGGCTATATATCATCACGCTAAGACCAAAAGGAGCGGAGCACCAATGAAGAATGTTTCAAAAACGGAGAAAATTTATTACTATTGAGAGACGTAGACGAAGTTGCGCGGGTCAGCTAGTTAAAAATAACAGTAACAGTTTAATTGAATGTCTCAACAGTTTTTTTTTCTATAGTTTTGTATAAGTGATGATTACTGATGATGAGTGATTATTAGACGTGTTAAGTTTTGTTCGTGTAGCGTGCTTGGTGCCTATTAAATAAAAAAGAGAACTGGAAGATCTGTGTGCGGTAGGTACTATACGTATACCTAATATCCATTGCTTACATTGCACTAGGCCAGTAAGAAGAAAAAAGATAAGAAAAACATTTACTCGTAAGTATTTAGAAAACGCACAGATTTTTTTTTTTTTTTTTTATAAAAAAACTACATCTAAGACTACGACTAAGTATTAGATGTAGTTTTTTAAATATAAATTATTAAAAACTACCTAAACAAATAGATTTTTGTAATTATTTTATAATCATCAACAGCCTTTAGTAGTCCACTGCTGGACATAAGCCTCTCTTTATAAAGGAGGTTTTGGCCTACTATACCACACTGGCCACACGGGTTGGTATATGGTTTGTTTCAATTTTTCCTTTCCTTTTGCAGTGCTGTTAACCTCCGTAGTTTACTCCCTTGGTAAGCTCTTACGACACCCACGGGATGAATAGGGATGGCGACACTCCGTATTCTTAATCCGTCACCACACGAATAGTGTCTGATGTGTCAAGTAACTTATTAAACCTATGCCCGCCACTGTTCTTTTTGAAATTATGAATGTTCTGCCTCAGAAATGTATTAACAAATATGTTTACGAGCATAAAACGGTGAAAATACTTATTAACTGAAATCTTTCTCTGAAGGAACTCGAGCGTTTAACTTGGTAATGCGCAATTCCAGTGCTAAGCGCATTTGTAATATAATTAGTTTCAACTTCATGCTTTGATCCAAAGCGGAGTTCCGCACAATATAATTAATAAGTTTAAAAATAGTAGCTACAACCTCTTGAATGCGTCTAGTATGAAAATCTTCATTTACCTATGATATAACTAATCCTTCATACCTGTTTATGGTTGTTCTGTACAATTTTAAAACCTAGTAAGAGGCAAATCTCAGAAAACGTACACAACAATCTGAAGCTCCTTAATTAACCCTTGACTTTTTGGAAAAAAAAACAACTTTGAAAACAAATACCTTATCTACTATACGAGTATTAACGGT